ATATATATATGAAAGCAAGTTAAGAAAGCAACTGATCATAGTGATGTGGATGTTTGCACAAGCTCTGCAATTTGACACTCCACTCCTGTCAAATCAAGTCACATTTATTTATGTAGCAATTTATACAATAAGCTTTAAAGTATTAAACATGAACAAACCAGATAAGATTTCCATGTTAAAAGAAGGCAAAGCCACAGAGCACACCTACCTATTAGGTAATTGCCATGGACCAATGGTAGTTTGAAGGCATTTACCAGCTGGGGCACATTTTCTGAAAAGTTCGCTTTAGCAAGCTATTTTGAACTTTGTTTTGTGCCTTTTGGAAAGAAGTCACACCATTATGTTCTTTGATTTCACTTGAAGTATTTCAAGGCATTAAGGGTCATAAACCTCCCTGTTTTGGCACTAGCCATTCACACCTCAGTTTTGAAAAAGGCTCAAAAATGGAAGCAAAAAGCTCAGGAGAGGTTGGGGGTGGGAGGAGGGGAGGATAGAGCATGAGGCCTTCTCTCATCCCACCCTCCAACCTCTCCTGTGAAGAGCAATGTCTCAATCACTTCCAGACCAACAACACACTATACAGATGAATGAATTTGTTTAATATTTAAAACCAAGATTGTTTGGGACATATAGCATACATTGTAAGTAATAGTGCTTACATTTACGCTACCCTTCAAAAGTTTATTATTATTATTATTATTTTTTTTTTTTTGAAATAAATGAATACTTTTAATTTATTATTAAATTAATCAAGAGTGACAGTAAAGAATGTTACAAAATATATTTTATTTCAAATAAACGCTGTTCTTTTGAATGTTCTACTCATCAAATAATCCTGAGAAAATTGTTTTCAACATAATATTAAGAAATGTCAGCATATTGGAATGAATTCCGAAGGATCATAAGACAAAAAAATAAAAATACAGATATTTTGATTGGTGGTATGTTTAAATGAGATACCCCAGATTAGCAATTCAAGCAGGGACAATAATAGCATTGTCTAGCATTCTGTCCATTCTGAATTTTCATCTTTTATCACTGACTTACTGTAATAAGTCAGCATACCCTAGAACACCCTTGCTACTCTACTCCTTTCCACTGGTTCACAGGTTTATACATATTTCTACTTTATTCATATGAGATAAAATAAATCCATCACGGATTGCTCATTAAGCTTATGTGTGCTAAACTTTGTCAACCATGAGCCATAACAGCTGCCACTCAGATGAGTCGGATGACTCAGAGCTGCCTCAAACTAGTTGATATGTCAGAATGTTAACAAGATGTCTAATTTACTGCCATTCAGTTTCTTTCTGTATTTCTCTCCCTGTTTATCTGTAAACAGACCATAAAACCATCAGATATTGCCACGGTGCGAACACTGGGCAGACCGCCCCACCTCATCATGCGAATTATGGACTGTGTGTTATTGCTCTTCCAGAGGAGAGTGAACACAGTGAAAATTGATCCTGAGAAAAACTGCGCCATGCCCTCCTGGCAAGAATCACTCAAACTTATGACTGCTGGCAACTTCCTGGGCAGTCTACAGGTACAAGTCTTTATACTAGATACCATTCTTGGTATTTTCCCCTGAAGTTATATAACTTGGTATATATAGTTAAGGTTTCTTGCACCAAAAACAGTCATATTTTAGTTTGCATAACTATTTCCCATTCTCTGCACAATTAAACAAGGCCGTTATGAATTCTATGTAAATGTCCTCTTAACATGTGAAAAAGTAACAGTGATTTGCTGTGTAGTTTATAATATAGTTTTAACTGCTTCTTTATTCAATGTCAGCCCATTACAAAGCTTAAAACACTGTGACAACAAAGCACTCTGTTTCGTTGAAACCATGTTTTTAGTGTTCAGGAATATTCAAATATACACTCTAAAAAATACTGGGTTGTTTCAGCCCAACTTTGGGTCAAATATGGACTAACCCAACTGTTGGGTTAATTTTTTAATACATTTTTTAAGTCCATATTTGACCCAGAGTTGGGTTAAAACAACCCAGCATTTTTAGAGTGTGTAGTGTTTTGTTTATTACTCCACTGTGATTGAATGGACCAATCTGAACACTGCATTGTTGATATGCATGTTCATGTATTATTTGTTGGGCAATTAAAATATAGCACCACTGTAGTTGTAACCACAAGGAGTTATTTTAGCTGTATTACCAGCAGTACCAGTAGTAGTACCAATATTGATACCAGTACTGCATGATTGAAAACTGGATTTTTTACTTATGATGCTTATTAACAAACAGAAAGAAAGAAAGAAAGAGACTGACTGACGCTTAACAGAAAGAAAGAAAGGGAATCATCTTTGATTTTTGGCTTTACACTTTCCGAAGCCAACAGATGCTGTGACAGTAATTAGGATTTTAGTGGACAGAAAAGCCCTGAGACAAAATTCAGTTAAAATGCTGGCATGAATAAGTTCAGCTCTGACAGCTAATCAATACAGCATTTTACACACACATATATTATACTGGTATATTATCTTGTAGAACATATTTTAAAATCTGTCTGTTTGCTTTTAAGATAAGGTTCCATGCATAATCTGTATCTTCTAACAACAGACAAATATCAAATAAAATTTTCAAGAGCATAATTTCAAATATGTTCCATATAATGTACACCTATATTGTTTTACTCCAGCTTTTGTTTTGTCCTCCAGCAATTCCCCAAAGACACCATCAATGAGGAGGTGGTGGAACTCCTTTCTCCATACTTTGACATGTCAGACTATAACATAGAAACAGCCAAGAGAGTGTGCGGCAATGTTGCAGGGCTTTGCTCCTGGACCAAAGCAATGGCTGCCTTCTTCTCTATCAATAAAGAAGTGCTTCCTTTGAAGGTCAGAACACTTGATTGTTTTTACATGATGCAACCTCACAGGCCCCAATTTAAACTGTCAAAACACTTAAACTGTCAAAACTATTAGTTTATGAATTGCTATTGATATTTGATTATTCTTTACCTTTGGGCATGATTTATTATTTTATCATCTTTTGATATGATAGTTTACTTTCAAACAGTTGCCTGGTGCCTCAAATGCACACTTTTCAAATACCACAAGAAATTCAAATTATAGCTGCTTTTAGTTCATATTTGTTAGCTTCAATACTCCTAATACATATTGACAAGTTAACCTTTAGCAGATACATGCATGCAAAAATTACCTTTATTATTTATTTATTTTTTGTGGGAAAGCAGACAATTCTGTCTACCACCACCCCTGAAATACTTACCTTCTTTGGACTAGTAATATCAAATAAGAAATGATGGCTGTTTAAACATATGAAACATTTCATGGGGCCTTTAAAACTGTAAATGTTTTTCAGTTGTTCAAGGGCATTATTTGAGTTTATCATTGGCAAGGACTAAGTAAACTTAAAGTCAAACTTTACAGATGCACACTTGCACAAACAGTTTTTTTATGCATACTTTGTATTTTTAATTTTTTCTTGATATATATTTTATACAGTGCAAAATCCAAACATTCAATTTTATTTCACAAAATGAATTTAATGTGAAAGTTTCTGACCAAAATTACTTTGTGCAGCTGCGATTTTTTTTTATGTGAACCAGTGTGTGTAACCTTGTCGAAGAACATGAATAGTTGTGTACAGTGTCCAAATTTACCATTCACCAAGCAACAACGTTTGTGAAAAAAAATATGATTATTGCATTATGAATATTGTGATAAAATGTGCAGCCCTGCACTCAAGCAGACCTGGAGCTCTTTAAAAACTGGAAGAAAAAAAACAAACAGACAAACAAAATGTTGTAATATAATTTTATAATTTTTATAATTTCATCAGGAAAATCACAATTAGATTTAGAACTGCATAAATGCAGTTTCTTTGCTCGTAAAAACTTAGCTTTTTTTTTTTTTTACTGCAAAACAGTTAGGTTTCAGACTGCAATTGGTTGCTTTTTGTGCCTTTAGTTAGCTACATTAAGTCAGAACTGTGCTCTAAATATTTATAGGGGTTATTCCGTAGTCTCCTTACTTTGTTAGGGACATGGCCCTACATTGTGTACCTAAATCTACCCATGCAACACATCACAATGATCATTTTTAGTTTTGTCCAGTGGAAACTAATTTCTTGTTTCCTTTTAGAATTCCTTGCTTTAACCTGCTGTTTTCCAGGAGCTGGATCAATTTACAACACTGTCTCTCTTCATCATCCTCAGGCTAATCTGGCAGTTCAGGAGAACAGGCTGGACATAGCTAATGTGGACCTCCAGAAAGCCCAGGCAGAACTAGATGCTAAGCAAGCAGAGCTGGATGTAGTTCAGGCCGAGTATGAGAAGGCCATGATGGAAAAACAGGTAACCACTGTGTTAAAAAGATTAGGGCAGGGGTGTTCAGTCCAGCTTTTGAAGGGTCACTGTCCTGCAGAATTGAGCCCCTAAATAAACACAACTGAACCATCTTCTCAAGGTCTTCAGAATTACTAGAGACATCCAGGCAGGTATGTTGAGGAACGTTGGCTCTAAACTTTGCAGAACATTTGCTCTCCAGGAGCAGGATTGGACACCCCTAGCTAAGGGTCAAAGCTATGTCATCATGATGACACAAATAATCTAAATATAATGATATAATTTAAATAATCTAATAAATAAGGTTATAATAATAACCTTAAATGAAACCCAGAGAATTCACTGAGAACATTTTTATTTTCTTACTTGCCTTAAATTCCAGCAATAGCCCAAAGAAAATTAATCAAGATTTTTCCACTTTTCTAATTATTCTGTGAAAAATGGTGAATCAGCTGTCATTTAGTGCTTGAAGTAAATACTCAATCAATCACTAATTTGCATTTTTGCATAAAATTGAATGTAATGAACAATTTTGTAAACAAATCTAAAACCATCTTGCAGATGAATCAATCAGGCTTGTACTCTGTGTGCCTCTACAAAATTAATACTAATGTTTTAAATGGTTGGAAGCAAACATTAATGTTCCCATTCACAATGTATAACGAGCCTTATTAACATTTCATAAATTTTTGATAATTGTGTGATTAACAGCTTGACTGACTGATATCCTTTGGTGTTGATTTATGTCAGGCCTGATCATTCGTACTTAAGAGAACAGATGTTCACTTTACCAATGACTTAATAAAAATATGAATTGACTTTAAACACTGTAAGAAGTTTTACTAATTTACCTGTTTCCACACATTGAAAGAAGTGGAAATTGAAATGAAGAAAGGCATGTTTTTTTTTCTTTTCTTTTTTTTTACCATGCATAAAATCTCCTTACATTCTGAATGAAACAGGTGCCCTGAGAAACAACACCTGTCTATTAAATAAGGCAACATGAATTTTCTTAGGTCACAATAAATTACACTGAATTGAACTGACATTCTCGCTCTTGGTAAGAGTCAATAAATGTGAACGAGCACAGCTGCACATTTTTCTTACCATCTCTCCCTCTTTTTTCTCAGACTTTACTGGAGGATGCAGAAAGGTGTCGGCGCAAGATGCAAACCGCCTCTAGTCTTATCAGTGGGCTGGCAGGAGAGAAAGAGCGTTGGACACAGCTTAGTAAAGATTTCGCTGCTCAGACCAAGCGACTAGTTGGTGTGTTTTTACATAAAACTTTCGGCCACTTTTTTCTCGTTTAGAGTTTTACTATAACATGATTTGGTTGACTTTTTTGTAGTAATCACCTTTCAGTCCCAGATATGTCTGTTCACCAAAAATAATTTTTTACAGACATGTTGAGAATGAATTTTCATATATTAAAATCATTATTTTGTATATAAACTGCAAATATATTGTATCAGAAGAGCTTATTAGCTGTGTTTATAGTATTAGCAGCAGTGTAGGAAAGCGTCAAGTCAAGTCAAGTCAAGTCACCTTTATTTGTATAGCGCTATACGATACTGGTTGTGTCAAAGCAGCTTTACAGAGTCAAACAGGAAAATAGTTTGTTAATGATGCAAGAAGACAATAACGGAGTCATATTTCAGTTAAAGTCAATACCCAAGCTGAAAGCCTTGGAGGCCGCCATACTCCTGGTCGAGTGCGCCCTGACCCCCATAGGCGACGGGAGGCCAGAGGACTCGTATAAGAAGACAATAACGGAGTCATATTTCAGTTAAAGTCAATACATTGATGATTCAGTGATGTCATCATCCAGTTCAGTTCTCTTCCAATAGTGTCTGTGTAATCAGTCAAGCGTCCCCAACTAAGCAAGCCAAAGGCGACAAAACTCCATCGGTGACAGAAATGGAGAAAACCAGGCTCAGTCGGGGGGCCAGTTCTCCTCTGGCCATCACTATTACTTCTAGAACTTCTTGCAACTTTCTAAATGATTAAAGATACAATTTCCATGATGATAAAATATCTAAGCCATATCTAGGAACCGGAATATAATAGAGACTTGGAGCTGAACTCTTTTAACTTGGGCCAGTAATCAGCCAGCTAGCATTGTCGTAGGAACTACCCAGAACTCCCAAGAACATGCCCTCGTCCTGCACCATCTGTGGTACAGATATGAATGATACCTCAAATTTTTTGACTTCTTGTATAGCGGTGCGTTATTACAATTTCTAGTGTTGGGACAATTTTTGCTTAGAGAGTGATAAAATTAGTAAATAAATCATATTGACTTACACTTATAAAGGGACCCCAACCATATAAAAGGTTCAGAGAATTAAAGGGATGGGGTCTTTTGATTTGGACCAGTAATCAACCACCATAGCAACACCCTAGCAACTACCCAGATCACCCTAGCAATTGATTGCAATGCATTAAAACCATGTAGCAACATTTTAAACCATAAAACCATATAGCAGTAATATAGAGTTTCACTCTATTCTTTCAAGTCTTAATCTAATTTTACATTTCCCATACTCAGGTGATGTGCTGCTGGCTACAGCCTTCCTTTCCTATTCGGGGCCTTTTAACCAAGAGTTCCGCAACCTTCTTATCACTGATTGGCAGAGAGAAATGAAGTCCCGTCGGATTCCTTTTAGGACCAATCTGAATCTCACTGAGATGTTGATTGACGCTCCCACAGTAAGTGAATGGAACCTACAGGGGCTGCCCAATGACGACCTGTCCATCCAGAATGGGATTATTGTTACAAAGGCTGCCAGGTTTCCCCTGCTGATTGACCCCCAGACCCAGGGAAAGATCTGGATCAAGAACAAAGAGTCCAAGAATGAGCTTCAGGTGACCACTTAGAGTAAACATTGATGAGAATTTGCACAATGTGGTTCATTACATACTTTGAAGTGTATATGTTACAGTGTTGAAGAGGGGATTTTCCATCTTATTGTAAGTATCCTGTAACTACAGCCAAGCTAAAGCCATCTGAAAAATAGTTAGCTACTACAAATTACTAATAGTCAAGTCAAGTCACCTTTATTTATGTAGCGCTTTGAACAATACAGATTGTGTCAAAGCAACTGTACAGCATTAATTAGGAAAATACTGTGTCAGTAATGCAAAAGGACAATAGTAAACACTCAATTTTCAGTTAAAGGCAGTTCATCATTGAATTCAGTGATGTCATCATCCAGCTCAGTTCGGTTTAAATAGTATCTTTGCAATCATTTGCAATCAAGTCAACGATATCGCTGGAAATGATATCGTTGACTTGATTGCACAGATACAATTTAAACTGAACTGAGCTGGATGATGACATCACAAATGTCTGTGATTGTTAGTAAGTGTAAGTGATCGCGGGAGAAAAAACCTTGGGAGAAACCAGGCTCAGTCGGGGGGCCAGTTCTCCTCTGGCCAGATGAAACCAGCAGTTCAAATAAAAAAAAATATATATAATAAAACCTACAATCTAAATATATTTGTCACAGTAAACCACTAATAAAACATGAAAACACCATAGTTTATATAAGAGAGTTTAAAACATAGTGGTGAAAAACGTCTCTAGGTTACGTATGTAACCATGGTTCCCCGAGGGAACAAGCTGCATGTCGGACAGATTCAACCACAGATGCCGCTCCGTGGCCACCATTGCTGCCATTGAACGGCCGATAGCTCTGGCCGTTTCTTTGGTGGCCCGGAGGGACAAATCTGTGGCCCGACGCAGTTCAGCTACCACGTCGGTTTCCCCCTCCTCCCTGTCATCCAGGTCCTTGAGCAGGTCAGCCTGGTACGCTTGTAACACCGCCATGGTGTGCAAGCATGCGCCAGCCTGACCTGCTGCCATATAAGCTTTCCCAACCAGAGTAGATGTAAGCTTAACAGGCCTGGTGGGAAGCTTCGGGGCCTTCAGGGACGATGCCGAGGATGGGGAGAGATAGCTCGCGAGCGTCTGCTCCACCATTGGCATCGCCCCATATCCCTTCTCGTTCAGCCCCACGATATTAGAATAATTAGAGACTGTGGGGCTATATATACGGGAAGAATACGGTTTTTCCCACGATCTTGACACCTCGGCATGGAGATCGGGAAAAAACGGAAGGCCCCGTCGTGAAGGCTGTGACCTCGCTTTCAGGAAACGCTCGTCTAGTTTGCTCTTAGGACGAGCGTCCTGTTTCTCGGCTGGCCAATCGATATTTAATTTCGCTACAGCACGAGTCACAACCTCCACGAGCTCCTCATACGCGAGGGACTGCGGTGGCGAGTCCACAGTCTCCTCTGTCTCGACACTCATCCCTTCTACCTCCTCGGAGGAAGATAGATGAAGTGCCTGGCTCTCCCTCCGGGGGGAAGAAACCGCAGCGCGGGCTTCCGAACCCTGAGAGAGAGCCGCGGATCTAGCGGGTGAGGACCGAGAAAAGGCCGAGCCCGTCTCGGATCCCTCCGCTAAATCCACTTGCGATCCCCATGACAACAGTCTGCGCTGTGCCTCAGCAACAGCGGGACCGCTGCCAGCGGGATCGCGAGCCTGGCCGCTCTCATCAAACACGGCCAGGCGAGAGCGGAGCGTGCGCAGCGAGAGCAGCTCGCAGTCATGACAATCAGCCCCCTCGAGAGCTGACCGTGCATGCTCCGCTCCCAAACAAACGACACACAAATCGTTTGTATCCCCTGCCGTCAGATATCGTGGGCAGGGAGGAACACAGCGTTTGTACTGCCGTTCGCTCGCCATAGACTTTTTCATTGTTTTTTTATATATATGAGTGCTTGTGCGGACAGACAACAGTAAATAGACAGACACATACACAGAGCGCTACTGAAGAGCAGAAGCTGGTTTGCGCCCGGCCGGATGCGCTTTTATGCTTTCTGGTGCTGACGTCACCCCGCTCGTGACGTCTCGCTGCTCCATTGGACGGATTTGACACGTGCTTCAGAACGCGGTCACGCAAGGGCGTTCCCAAAGCGATCTCGACGCAGCTCGAGTTCCTGAAGGGGAACAGCGTTTGACTTTTTTTTTTTTTTTTTAAATCATAATAATGTTGTTTTTGTGTATTGCTTCACACACAAGCACACACAAAAATGCTACATAAAATCCACTTTATCGTCCTTGTAATGGGTAGTTGTATATTAAAGGGCACGACAAAGGAGTAGAAACAAAGATAAGTTTCAATAATGAATCCACAGGAGACCATGTAGCACAACTACAATAATACAAACAATACTGGACAAGGAACTGAAGGAAACAGGGGACTTAAATACTATAGGAAAGTAATCAAGGATAAGCAGAACAGGTGTGAACTAATCAAAAACCACGGACACTGTCAATGGAAAAAAGCAGCTTGTTACTGAGGCTCTTTCCACACAAGCACGGGTATTTTTAAAACCGCAGATTTTTCTATGTGGTATGGCTGTTTGTCCACACGCAAACGCAGTATCAGGTCACTGAAACTGAACCTTTTTGAAAACTCCTGCACAGGTGAAGATTTTTAGAAACTCCGGTTGCAGTGTTGCAGTGTTCACCGTCATGTTGATGGTGAAACCGGAGATTTTGGCTTGTGATGTTGGAGTGCGCGTTGTTATCTTCTTTGTTTGATGTCAGATTGTGCGCCGCTATCTCCTTGTATTACATGAGGCGAGTCTGTGATTGGCCAACATGGCTTTACGGTTGGTTTAGCATGCTCTTGACAGCATTGTGTGTTTTTGCATTTTAATGTGGATTTAATTTTTTTATTTTTAAACAAGGAGGACAAACTCAGTTTATAAAAATATTCGTGTACGTGTGGACTAGGCCTGAAAAAAATGACAAAACAATTCACTGTTTTTAAAATACTTTTTAGTATTGCTTATATCAAGGTATGATACAATAGGCCTCTGCATATTTAAAAGTTCAACACATATATTCTTAAGAAGCATGTTAAAATCTAATTGAAAATGCACAGCTTTCACTGATGCATGGTTTCTTTTTAAGAGGTCAGACACTCTTTCAGAGGCATGACCTCATAACAAATCACCTCCTCCTCAGGTCATAGCTTTCCCTAGTAGCAGAACTTGAGGTGGGTCAGTAATGAGGTCTTCCTGTTTTCACAGATCACCTCACTGAATCACAAGTACTTCAGAAACCATCTAGAAGACAGTTTATCTCTAGGACGTCCCCTGCTCATTGAAGATGTTGGGGAAGAATTGGATCCTGCCTTGGACAATGTCCTGGAGAAGAACTTCATCAAGACTGGGTTCACATATAAGGTATTTTTTAGAGTGGTTCAATAAACCAACCAACCAAACAAACAAACAAATAAATAAATGTTTTAAAAATAGTTTTGACATTGTTGTAAATGTACATTATTTTTTAAGCTTTGAATGCACAAATTCCATGTATTTCAGTGAGAACTATGAGTGAGATTAAATCAACATAGCATGAAAACTATAGTTCCATTTCATGGGAACTTCGAACTGCGTCCTCTAGGGGTTGCTATGGGGAACGCCTCGTCGTGACCCGTGTCTGAAGCATACATTGAAAAAACACGAACTCGTTGGCCGGCGACAGCCATGACGTCACTACCGGTGCGACTATAGCAGTGTTGACAAAAGTGAATTCTACTATAATAGCACACATACATCTCTCACTCAGATGTATGATTCATGTTGTGAAGTGCTCATCTGCAATTCTCTTAGAACATTTTCCTGTCAGTTGTTATATAGACATTTAGTAATCATCTTTAAGATGTATATGGTTTATGTAAATCCACTTTGGAGACGTATGTGTGCTTACTGGAGCTCCCCTGTTCGCTATACGTAATAAAACATGTTTTTACAGAAAGAACGTCTCAGGTTACTTATGTAACCATGGTTCCCTGAGTAGGGAACGAGACACTGCGTCCTCTAGGTTTCTTGCCATGCTGCGGACGCAAGCTTCAGACGAAGAAGTGAATGATGTGTGCTCCCGGCGCCTATTTATACTATAGTCGCACCGGTAGTGACGTTATGGCTGTCGCCGGCCAACGAGTTATTGTATTGATACATTTAGTTTAATTAATTATGGAGTTAACATAATGTGCTAGACAATAACAAAATTACACAATTGTAAGAATCGTATACAGAATTGTAAATTGTATTTAAACATGTCACAAAATTGATATAAAATACATGTTAAAAAAAAATGTATGTCTTTCTAATTACTTTAATATTTGATTATAATATTATAATCACATTTATAGTTTTACTTTTAGAATATTTTGTTTGATCTCCAGAGGCTCACAATCAAAATGTTATGAAGGTTATGCACCTCTTTTCACTGATTCAAGAGTTAAATGTTAATTTTTTTTCTTTTTTTTAATTATTTTATTTTATACCTTATTCTTGGAAAGTGGCAAAAACATAATGATTACATACAGGTATGTTCTCCTGTAATTAACTATCAAAATCTATCATATATAAATCAACAATATAGTGTAAGCGTGGAAGAAAATAGGGACAGTATCATTAAAGGGAACATCATTGTCCTCAGCAGTTCTAGTCATTTAAAAAAAAAAATTGCCTTTCATTATTTTTTTACTAGGAAATGAACAAGTAACACTTTATTTTGATAGTCCACTTTAGACATTCTATTAACAGCAAGTAACTTTGCAACTACATGTCAACTAGCAGTTAGTAGAGTATTAGTAGACTGTCTGCTTAATATCTTCTAACACTTTCTTTGTCAACATTCTACTAACCCTAAACCTACCCTAACAATCTACTCTGAGAGTTAGTAGACATGTAGTTGCAAATTAATGAGAATTAGTTGACATGTAGTTACAAAGTTACTTATAGTTAGTAGAATGTCTAAAGTGGACTATCGAAATAAAGTGTAACCAAATTGCTTTGCGGAATTAGAAAATACTGTGCATTTGTATAGAACCTCTGCTCTTTCTTATTATTTCCAAAGTTAAATTATAGAACAGATGAGCTGTGATTGTATTCAACACTCTCTCCGTCATTATTCTTTCTTGGAAAGATATTCATAGTGTACAAAATCATAGACAAGTAGGTCATAGCAAGTGCTCTGAAAGAACAGTTTTATTTATTTTTTTTATTTTTATTTTTTTTTTTACATATGCTTAGAATTAAGAACCTGAAAAAGGACAGAAAAATCTGTTCCTGGTCAGAGTGATGACACCAGCTGCTCTGGCTGTTTACCGCTATTGTGGGACACGACTGGGAGTGACAACCATGGCCTTTCGGGCATCTTTCCTTGATCTCATTATCAAATATCCAGTTGCTCTAAAAATGTGATGCTGTTTCACCATCACACACAGCAGCTGCTTCACACGTTCAAAAAAGAAGTGGAAATAGCAAGCAGCGGAAAGAGCTCTGACAGGATTATCTAGTCAACTCTATTAATACAAAGGTGTGAACACCTGATCACACATTTTTTATAACAGAGACTGAATGGGAGATATTGGCATCATTTTATCATTGTCAAATCACTGCATAATAATCACATCACAGCCCTGTTCATTCTAATTCTGCTAATTGGCATGGAAATAAAATGAGTTACTCCCTGTTGAGATAATCGGCATATCATTAAACAACTTCACCAACACCTTTTATGTTTGGAAGGTCATTAACACACGCTCTATTTAGTAACTTCTCTCTAAGGATCTTTTAATGTTCAAAACTTAGTTGTTCTTATGAAGCATCTTGAGATATGGAACATTCTTCAGTCTTTACTCTTCAGATATGTTTTCATGTTGATGTTAGAGCAGCTCTTCATCTGGAGTTTTAAATCTCTGACTCATTCTTGCCATCAGGTGAAAGTAGGTGATAAAGAAGTGGATGTAATGAAGGGTTTCCGTCTCTATGTGACCACAAAGCTGCCCAACCCAGCATACACTCCTGAGATCAGCGCAAGGACATCCATTATCGACTTCACTGTTACAATGAGGGGCCTGGAAGATCAGCTATTGGGAAGAGTTATTCTCACTGAGAAACAGGTATAGGCCCTTTGAATGTGAACTCGTGTAAATGGGTGTAGGAGTGATCTGAAATGTGTGTTGGGGGCCTATTTTAAACTAAGCTTGGCTTATGAGAAGTAATTAGGTGATTTGACCATTAGTCCTTGCTGAAAGGCAGGTAAGTGGCAGCTAGCTAAAGTAGATTATCACTTACTGCTTGGGAATCATTCTGTCTACTGCCGAAATTACCAGGTTTTTTTTTTTCTTCAAATTTGTAAGTCTCTTAGATTAATTGTACTGTAATTTTAGATAATGCTTCATATGCTTTAAAATGTAAGCCATGCTTTAGAAAAGGCTTTATACAATGCTTTTTCCAGTTATACCCTGGTGTTCCTCATGAAGGTCCCAATGGTACCACATGGAGAAAAAAAAATTTCCCAGAGACATGTTTCTATGGCACAGCAAGCAAGAGTGAGAGAGTGCTTTGGTCATTTTTTGGGGTCAGTGGACAAAGAGTGTGAATTTCAAATCTCTGTACACTGAAAGACTACTAACATTCAGCATAGTCATAGAGACTCAAAGCATTTATCTAACAAATCTCTGTTGTTTCATCCTCAGCACTGCAAAAATAATTCCCTGCAAAATATTGACTCAATCTTTTGTAGTTTTTGAGTAAAATTGTCTAACAAAAAACTTTAATCCAATTCATTTATTTTAGAAGTAAATATTCATACAGTAATCTCATGTTAGGCAGTATGTACTATCTGTAAATCTCAACTGCTTGATTGTTTAATTGAAAAATGTAAACTGTATTATAGCCCAGCGATATATTAATAGCTGGACATATAGTACATCCTATTTTACCTGTATACAGACAGTATATTCAAGTAAAGCAGTATGTTCTGTATAGCAAATCTCAGCTATGTGATTGTTTATATCATCACAAAAAAAAAAATGGAACCTGTATTATCACACAGCTCTCCATATAAATTTTTATTCGCATCCCTATCTGCATTTATACACTATATTTGCTTAGGGCGATATACTGTATACTATATAGCAAATCTCAACTGCTACATTGCTTATATCATTTCATTTATTAATCTTAGTTCATTTTAATTTCTATATTTACTTATACATAATTAAAACACATTATTTTCCACATACTGTACATTATTGTTTCTCCTCTATGCCCCGGCTTTCTGAAACGCATCGATTTTTACAAAGTTCATCGGTCTGAAAAGCGAGGTGTGCTCTGATTGGCCAGCTATCCAGTGCGTTGTGATTGGCCGAATACCTCAAGCGTGTGACGGAAATGTTACGCCCCTTACCATACTGTGATGCCGTGTCCCGGAGCGACGAGACAAAACCAATAAAACCCATTATAAACGAGGCATTTGTTGCATCCAGTGGGGATATAATTACTGATTATAATAACTTATACTGTCTTTTTACGCGTTGCGTATCACGCTGCGAAAACATAAAACCATGTCTGCAATTGTGATCGGAGAAATGACAAACAACAAGTGCTACTCTACATCTTAGTTAATTTTAATTTCTATATTTACTTATACATAATTAAAATCAATGTGTATTGTGAAAATCACTATACAAACAAATTGGACATAGTATTGTTTGTTTGTTTGTTTGTTATGGCTGAACCTAACAAATTTTAGTGAGGTTTATTCTCAAAATGAAAGAAAGATATAAACAATTCAAAGAAATCTTGTCATCAAAAATATTGCCAGTGTTGTAAGCGTTTTTTGTGCACGAAGATTTGTGCATAGCACCTTAAATTGGAGCCCACAGCTATGTCAAACCTAAGAAGGAACTGCACCAAAGCTACGGGTGTCTTGCAGTAGTGCACATTGTTATGGAGAATCGCTGTCGTCTCAGCTCATTTCAGCCTGGCAGAGTCAGATGGGCTTTGATAGTGCCTGCAGATTCCCAGGTGGAGAAAATTAAAGTGGCATTCAGAACATATTCAATGCTGGACATTGATTTGTCAATTAGGAATAAGGGCCTGAAACCCACGTCACCTCGTTACACCCAGCCTAATAAGAGTACAGATCTACATGCAGCCCAGCACTGATCTGAATTATAATAGATTTATGGCCTCTCCTGAGGCTAGTTAGTCATCTCTGCCTGATGGGGAACTGCATTTCAGACTTAATATTGAAAAGGTACATTTGGACAGCAGGCAAAAAAATTGGACTGGTAGGGCTGTGAACGCTAACCAAGCAAAATTGACTGTATACTATACTATCATACTATTCTGAAGCTGGAAAATTAAGTATTTAACTCAAGCCTCATGACTCAGCGGCCTGAATGCCATACACTGGTCAATCAATCAATCAATCAATCAACCAACCAACCAACCAGCCAACCAACCAAGAAATAAATGTTGATTGATTGATTTAAAAACATTTAAAAACAACACAAGTTGACCAAAGTGCTTTACACTCTCAAAATTACAAAATGCCTACACACAAATACATTAAAACACAAAACTCATCACTCTTCAGTCTCCATGCATCTAAGGACAATTAAATGCAACAGAGTAGAGGTGCGTCTTCAACATTTATTTAAAGCATTCAGTTGAGTCACATGATCTAATACGTGGAAGGAGGCAATTCCAGAGGCACAGCCACCGAAAAGGCACAATCTCCTTTACACTGATCTGTTATCTCAAGTCATTGACTGAGTCATGTACTGCATATTTACCAGAGAAGATTTCCAAAATTCATGGTTTTTCAATATATGTTTGACCTTTTGTAAAACCCTGAAGGTTTAAAGGGGTCATATGACGTTGCTAAAAATAACATTATTTTGTGTATTTGGTGTAATGCAGAGTGTTTATGCGGTTTAAGGTTCAAAAAACACATTATTTTCCACATACTGTACATTATTGTTTCTCCTCTATGCCCCGCCTTTCTGAAACACGTCGATTTTTACAAAGCTCATCGGTCTGAAAAGAAAACCGTCTTTTAAAGGGGTCATATGATGTTGCTAAAAAGAACATTATTTTGTGTATTTGGTGTAATGTAATGTGTTTATGCGGTTTAAGGTAAAAAAAAACACATTATTTTCAACATACTGTACATTATTGTTTCTCCTCTATGCCCCGCCTTTTTGAAACGCGTTGATTTTTACAAAGCTCATCGGTCTGAAAAATCGAGGTGTGCTGTGATTGGCCAGCTGTCCAGTGCGTTGTGATTGGCCGAATACCTCAAGCGTGTGACGGAAATGTTACGCCCCTTACCATACTGTGATGCCGTGTCTCGGAGCGACGAAACAAAACCAATAAAACCCATTATAAACGAGGCATTTGTTGCATCCAGTGGGGACATAATTACTGATTATAATAACTCATACTGTCTTTTTACGCGTTGCGTATCGCGCTGCAAAAACATAAAACCATGTATGCAATTGTGATCGGAGAAATGACAAACAACATGTGCTACTCTACACTGTGGGGGCGTGTTAGAATGTGGCGTTTTAGGTAGGCGTGGTTGACTCTTAACTTTTATAAAGAATATCTCTTTGGATTTGAGACTTTAGTCTTTGCAACTTTACAGATCTTCTTTATGCACCAAGAGCTTGTAACACTCCAAAGAGAAAGGAACAATTGAAATCGCATCATATGACCCCTTTAAAATGTTTTAAACATTCTATCAGCGGTATGGGGGCAGTCGTGGCCTAATGGTTAGAGAGTCGGAAGGTTGAGGGTTCGAGTCTCAGGTCCAGCAGGAATTGTGGGTGGGGGGAGTGAATGTACAGCGCTCTCTTCCACCCTCAATACCACGACTGAGGTGAGACCCTTGAGGAAGCGCCAGACTGTCCTTGCAAAGTTGGAATTGCCCCACTTTATAGAAACAGACAAGCATTGTAGGCTATACTCTCCCAGGGAACAGCTCTTCCACCCTCAATACCACGACTGAGGTGAGACCCTTGAGCAAGACACCGAACCCCCAACTGCTCCCCGGGTGCCGCAGCAATATTGCTGCCCACTGCTCTGGGTGTTTGTTCGTGATATGTGTGTGTTCACTACTGACGCCACACGTCTCTTCTTTCAAATAATGTATTTAAGTGTTAATAAATTTGTGCTGTCTGAAGAAAAAAATCTTAATTATGTAAATGTTTTTATTGTCATCAGAAAAAAAATCTATTTTATACACTGATTTATATATTAAGGTTCATGGATTTATTTGGACCGCCTTAAAATATATCGAAAAAATAAAAATGTGGGAATAATAATAATAATGTATTACTACTGCATAATCACATTTGAATATTTTAGAATAATGAAAACAACAATAGATATAACAGTGTATTACTACAATATGATTTTTGGGTTTGTTTGGCTTCCAAAAACATCAACATGAATGAAAATTGGATCAGGACTGTATAGCCCCTAAAGAACATTTTAGACAAGTTAATATTATTTTATTATAATTTTGTTCATGTCATTTTGTCCCTGAGCAGTGGCATTAAATGACTTTTTAATGCGTTTGTGTGCTAAGCTTACACTGCAAGTGACATAAACAAGACATGGAAATAAATCATTAATCACAATAATGTGTATGACAAGTAATAGCCAAATTATAAAGTGTGTGCGGTGAGAAATGACTGTGATGTTTCTGGATTGTCAGGAACTGGAGAAGGAGCGAACTGACCTGCTGGAGGATGTCACAGCCAATAAACGTAAAATGAAGGAACTGGAGGATAATTTACTTTTTAGGCTAACTAGCACGCAGGGCTCCCTGGTGGATGACGAGAGCCTCATCACAGTGCTGGGAAACACGAAACGCACTGCAGAGGAGGTCACACAGAAACTCCAGATTGCTGCTGAGACTGAGATCCAGATCAATGCGGCCCGCGAGGAATACAGACCCGGTGGGGGCTTAGAGCTCGTCTGTCTTTTAGTGATTTAATTTTTTTGTTTTTCAACAATACATCGAGAAATGTGCTTCATCTCTTCCTCTAGTTTGTTAGTCTTATGATGTGACAATTATTGGAATTACCACAAGCTGTAAAACTTAAATACGTAAATAGAATCCTTCATACATCTCAGATGATCCAATCACAAGTGCACAGAGCTAAATACAAGTGTACATATGGTCCAAGATATTTTGTGATCGGACTGGTTAACCACATTCAGAGGTGAAAAACAGAAACTATTGCATTTGTACTGTATATGCTAATCTGTACCAAAACTTCCCTGACTATATATATATATATATATATATTTTTTTTTTTTTTTGTGAGCAACACTTTTTGTATACACTGACTTTTTTAGTATGCCAGTAAATCATGAAACACTATATAGGGGGCAAATCAAAGAAGTAAAAAGTGCTGTATAGGCTTCGTTTTAGGTCCATATGCTTATTATAACCTAATTAATTTAAAGATTGCGCAAACATTTAAAAAAATTAAGCAGACTATGTGGTAAACAGAATCTTTTCTTTTTACAAGTTTTAATGTCACACTTGAGACTGTCAGTCTGATATTATGGTATGCAGTGAAATTTATCCTTCAGAAATGTGTGCACCTGCTGGCACAATCTGAAAAGGCAATTCAAAACTTTTAAAACTTTTTATCATGACAGCCACCTTACAATTGTCTCATTCTAACTGGTCACACAAGACTGATACCAACCTAAACTAAAAGTGATTTTTTTTTTTTTGACAGTAATGTCTATCACGGACATTGCACTGGCTGCAAGGCTTCCAAAACTGTACAAAAAGCAGTGGAACAATTCCACCTCATATGCTTTGTCATTTTTTTCCGCACAACCCCATCATGCTTATCAGTCATTGAGACCACGCCATCTGTTCAAAGACCTATGCAGTTTTTACAATCAAGGCCATATTGTGTGAAATAGCGATCCAGGCAATGGAAACACTCATCTGTTGTCACAAGCAAAATGTCGGTTGATTCATCGATTTGAGTAGTAAACAAGGGTCTTGCACGCACTCTGTCTAAAATTTGCATTGACCTTGCTCATCTCAGTAATTGTTAGAAACATTGTCGTGGAAGTTTGGATTTTTATAGAATCACGTTGTACCCCATGACACGGGCCTGTGTGACCAATCAGAATCAAGTATTTCAGAGAGCTGAGCAATAATAGCCGTTCATGCACACTTGCCAGTTTTTACTCACTGAAGAGACTCAGAATTGTTTGAGGAACCCTGGTTTTAAACATGCAGTCAGACACAGATGCAAGTCACAAAATAAGACCCTTCTTTCAAGAATCAATGACAAAGGGGTCATGTCTAGTTGAATCTGAGTTGGATGTTAATATCAGATGTAAACAGGGCCTTTGTTGACACCTTCTTTTCTGTGTGTAGTTGCTACAAGAGGAAGCATTTTGTACTTTCTGATCACGGAGATGAGCATGGTGAACGTGATATATCAGACCTCTTTGCGCCAGTTCCTGGGCTTGTTCGACTTGTCCTTGGCCAAGTAAAACTCATTTATCATTTCATACCCCATTTAAATTTGTTTCTCAAAATAGTATGAGACTAAACCTTTTTTTTTTTCTATATCACCCATTTCATGGTCTGAAATGTAGACTTGAGGTATGGGCTTCAGATGGTTTTTTTGACACTGAACTAGTCCCAGTCAGATTTTATATGAGATTCGTATGGGCTAATTCAGACTGGGACAAATTAAAATAGGGCCGACATGGTGAACAAACCCATTTGGGGCCCATACCTCAAACCCATATTGTGCTTACATTGACCCCACCATGAAATGTTGGCTTGGCAATGATAAAATATAAATTCACGTGATACTGATGTCATAACATAGTGCCTATTGGTCATACTGTCCACGTGAGATGTGTAAGTGCAGTGAGTATTCTTCTACATGAGTTTGTTATCAGTAAATCCTTTGTAACCTTGTGTCTTTCTCTTGGGGAGTAGGTCCTCAAAGAGTCCAATTACAAGCAAGCGGATCGCCAACATCATCGAGTACATGACCTTCGAGGTGCACAATTACGCAGCTCGGGGTTTGTACGAAGAACACAAATTCCTATTCACCCTGCTGCTCACCCTCAAGATCGACATGCAGAGCAACAGGGTCAAACACGAGGAGTTTCTGACCCTCATTAAAGGTCAGAAAGCTTCCTGGCTCCCACGAGTCGACTCTCACTCTCTTTTTTTCTCTATTTTTCTGGCAGGTCAAAATCTTTCTTCTCCTTCAATTTCTCTGTTTTCTATGATCTTCAGTAAGAGAGTAATCAGTCTACCAATATTCTTGGACAAAAGTCTATGTGACTTGCTGCTGAATTTTACAGTACATCTCAAATACATAAGTTCAGACACAGTTTATATATTATAATAATAGCTATATATATATATATATATATATATATACAGTATATGCCAGTACATATTAAGATTTACAAGGCTAATGCAGTACATTGTGTGGTGCATACTTGCATGAATTGAGACATAAATATAGCCACATTTTTGGAAAGAATGTTCTAGGTTTAATCACTGATCTATTATAGACCAGTGGGTTCACTACAGTATGTGATATATTTCAAAAGTATAGCCGCAAGACTTAAACATACCATATTAACATGAGACTGGAGTGGGAATCACATACTATGAAATGTTATATAACATTTTTTGCTCCTGTTGTGACCATGTAAATCTGGCAAACATAGCAACATTCACATGATACATGAAAGGATAATATAAATGGATATACAGTAAACAAACCTGTCTGCAGTGTTTAAATAGACCAAAAATTTATTATCTTAATATCGTATTTCCATCACTCTCTAGGACTATTTAGAGAACTTGTCCACACAAATAGCACATTTTTGTACAAAATAGTTCTCTATAAATTGTTTAACAAACTGCTTTTGCTATGGAAACACTCGCATGTTTTTCTGAGAAATTAATAGAAGTTATTCTGTGGTAATCAATAGTATGCCACAGATGTTGTCAATATAGCTTAACTTGTATTGGACCCAGAATTTATTTGTTAACGTACTCTCCAACTTTGTTAACATGCTTTCCAAAATCATATGTAATGGCTTTTTGCAATTTGTGATCTGTACATGTTGTTCACGGGGAGTCCTTGGCGAGTCTGCAGATTTATGAACTACAATGAGATTATCATGCTGGTTCATGTGGTTTTGCTTCGTAAAAGCTTCAGATCTTAAATTTAATCACTGAAAGATCAGGTAGCCTTGTGGTCAGAGAAGTGGCCCATTACCTCGAAGGTCGATTTGATTCCCTGTGCTGGCAGTGCATGTCAAGCCAGTTAATACCATTCTGCTCTTTAATGCACTCTTGTGAGAGCCACTTTCTCCCTCTTCACTGCACTGTAGTTTGTCTCATTCTGTTCCGATAAGACGGGAGCTTTTCTTGAGATCATAGCGAGATATTATATTTGCAATAAGAGGTTCCTACGTACACTGTATGTACCATTGCAATTAGTGTCCAAGTGCAGAGAAGAACCTCTTTGTTTAGGCAAGAATATTATAAGAAAAAAAGGTATTTTATCAATTCAAAAATAGGATAAAGTCAATATTTAAATTTTCTAAACTCAAAACAAGGCAAGACTAAACGCAAAACTATAAAATATAAAAATTAAATATAAAATAACCAGTATAACAACAAACAACAATATACAAGAGGTAAATACAGGAGTATAACTTCCACAGATATCAGTATGGGAGACTGGGGATGGTTATAACACTTTTTGTTTTAACACCTGTAACTTTTTTTAACACCATTAGTCTCAACCTTTGTTTAAATTTTCGCACATTTATCTGATACCCCCAACTCTACCCCATTTTATTTCAAACAGGTTAAAAAAAATGACATGACATTAGTTCTGTGATTTAACATTCATTAACCTGTGAATCAAATTATAATTATATTCTTATTTATAATTATATTAATTATAGTCTTACAAATTCAGTTGCCACCTCAGGAGAAAGGTGGTCATATTAATAGGAATTTCATCCCTTTACCGAATTTCTAAGTTGTTAATTCTTACAAATGGAACTAATTAGCATATAACTTTTAATATTATTAATGTATACTACCTTACTGTTTCATGTACTTTAAAAAAAATTATGATATAGTATATTAAATAAGCTATTATTACATTCTGAACATAGTCATCAACATTCAATAAGAGCTTCAACTATTTATAAATAAATAATCATAATAAGAACAAGGCAGGTCTGTTTTCTTGATGTTGCCCAGGAGGTGCTTCGCTAGACCTGAAGGCCTGTCCACCCAAAGCTGCAAAGTGGATCCTGGACATAACATGGCTTAACCTGGTGGAGCTGAGCAAGCTGTGGCAGTTCTCTGACATTCTAGATCAGGTGTGCAGTCAGATACTTACACACATGGTCTCTAAAAGGATCAGACACACACACACATGAAAGACACACACACACACACACACACACACAGAATATCTGTCGCTTTGAGCTCCCCTTCCTTATTAAATCTATCTCACTGCTCCCGCTTTGCAGTAAACATGTCAATATTTGATTCATCTTGTCTACACACACACACACACACACACACACACACACATACAGGCACAAATACATTCACAGCCACTCACACTGACGGCTGACACTGGCCATGACTGCCTGGGGGAACTTCATGCTCAATGCAGTGTGAAATGAGCTCACTTTGGCAAACAGATTAAAAGCCTTTTGTTTAATTAACCATTTCTGGAGCACTGCAACTACAGAAATACTGTTAATCTTCACACAAGATTGCATTATACAATATATGTCATGACATACCAGAAATCCATGCTATCCAAGTCTCATTATGTTAAGTCTTTGTCTTTGAATACGTTTTGATTAGACAAAACATTTAGAATATTTTTATCTTATGTATTTTATGTTTATTGAATTGTTGAAAGTTCAAGCCATTTCATTGTAGATGCTATATAATATATTAAAGGGATAGTTCACCCAAAATTGAAAATTATGTCATCATTTACTCACCCTCATGTTGTCCCAAACATGACTTCTACTGTCTTCTATAGGACATTAAAGAATATATTTTGAGAAATGACTGAGAAATGAGATGTGTTTTTTGTCCAAACAATGGAAGTCAATGGTAACCAAAACTGAGAGGTTACCAACATCTTCAAAATATCTATATCTGCAGAAAGTCATACAGAAGTCAAAGATAGCAGAATTAGCATTTTTGGTTCAACTATCCCTTTAAACATAATGTGTCAGTAAATAATATGAGGTCATATTTTTTGGCTCTTTTATAATAAAAATAAACATAAAAGTATAAATCTACAAAGTCAAAAATGCCGTTTAAATTGTGATTATTATTTTTTAAAGTTGAATAGCACCCCACAGAACATGATGACTTCTCAAAACGATTTTATGCCATCTGTCCAAATAAGTACCAGAATCATTCACTTTTGGGTACATGTGTGCATGTGTATTTACAGATTGTGCGTCATGAGAAACAGTGGAAGAGCTGGTTTGATCGAGAAGCACCAGAGGAAGAACCAATCCCAAATGCATATGACCAGGCTTTGGACTGTTTCAGACGAATGCTCCTTATTCGATCCTGGTGTCCAGATAGAACCATTGCTCAGGTATAAATGAATTCATAATGAAGCCAGTGGAACAATATATTTTTATGATAGTTAAGCACAGACAAACACAACACAAGCCATGTGCTCACAGAACACAGTCATCTGGTGGCCCTCCTGGGCACACCCGCTGCAGACTGCGACAATATATATATATATATATATATATATATATATATATATCTACTAGCAAATATATATATATATGGTATCAGTCTGAGCCTGGTTTCTTCCAAGGTCTTTTCTCTACTGCTATCACCTGATAGAGTTTCGTCTCAGTTAGACAATTATCACTATCGATTTGACTGCACTGACACTATCAAATGACAGCAAAACTTTAAGTGAATTGAGTTGGATAATATTGTCTTCAGTAGAGCTGCCTTTTAACTAGTTTCATAATTGATGAACTCTGCAACAATGGCAGTGCTACTGAACTGAACTGAATCAACTCTGAACTAAATTTAGCTGAATGATGACTCTATTGTTTTCATTAGAGCCCCTTTTTAGATGAATGCTATTTGTAACTGATGAAATTTGTAAGATCAACACTGCCATTGAACTGAAATGAATCAACACTGAACTGACTTGAGTTGAGTAATGATACTATTGTCTTTTGTAGAGCTGTTTGTTCATAATTAATGAACTTCTTAAATGAATCAACATTGCACTAAATTAAGCAGAGTAATCTTTTGTAGAGCTGCTTCGCAGCTAAAATTGAAATTTATTTATAACGGTTGAATTTTGAAACATTGTTTTTTTTCTGTTTATTTCTGGTAAGCTGCTTTGAACAAATATGTATTGTATAAAGCACTACATAAATACATGTGATGACTTTTAATTGCTTCAGGCTAATTATTGTTTTCCAATGTGTAATTGAAAGGCACGAAAGTACATCATGCACTCAATGGGGGAGAGATATGCTGAGGGAGTGATTCTGGACCTGGAGAAGACCTGGGAGGAGTCGGACCCTCGCACTCCTCTCATTTGCTTCCTGTCCATGGGTTCAGACCCAACAGACTCAATCATAGCCCTGGGTAAACGACAGAGAATTGAAACTCGTTACGTCTCAATGGGACAAGGGCAGGAAGTTCATGCACGCAAACTTCTGCAGCACTCCATGGCTAATGTATGTACCACCATTTTTGATGTTGAAAGTACTTCTTTCCCAGCTTAAAATGCAGAGACAACAATAAGTCATTCATAGGCTGATTCCCCCCAAAAGTGCTTTGTTTTGTTTTGTCTTGTTTTTTATGTATTTATTGATTTATTTATTTTCTGTTAGGGAGGCTGGGCTTTACTTCAAAACTGTCATTTGGGTCTGCATTTTATGGACGAACTCATGGATACAATCACAGAGACGGACAGTGTTCATGACACCTTCAGACTGTGGATGACCACTGAGGTCCACAGACACTTTCCTATCACTCTCCTGCAGATGTCAATCAAATTTACAAACGAGCCTCCTCAGGGACTGAAAGCTGGACTTAAGAGGACTTATGGAGGTGAGCCTGGCATCTCTGGATATTCAGAATTTTATTTTTTATTTTTTTGTACTCTGCCTGTTTGAGATGAAAGATTCAACCATCACTTTAGACTACTGATGTATTAGAAACATTAATGGAGCTATTTAAATCTGGGCTGCATGATTATTTATAGAGAAGCCTCTTTATTCAAAGATAATCAAGTTAACGATCTGCCAGTTTCATGAATAAAAAAAGGTTTGTGTGGAATGTGTTAATAATAACGAAAGTCTTGAAATTGGTAATGCCTAATAATTTCTTCCAGGTATCAGTCAGGATCTTCTGGATGTGAGTAATATGGTCCAGTGGAGGCCCATGTTGTACGGTGTGGCATTCCTCCATTCCACTGTCCAAGAGAGGCGAAAATATGGACCTTTAGGTTGGAACATTCCATATGAGTTCAACCAGGCAGACTTCAATGCAACAATACAGTTTGTCCAGAATCACCTGGATGATATAGACATCAAGAAGGTGAGAGTTGCATTATGGAGCAGCTGTGTTGCTGGTTTCACAATTATGGAATAAAAATGAAATCAACCAAATACATCATAAACTCATTCCAAAAAAAGTTTTTGTTTAAAGGGGTCAAATGATGTTGCTAAAAAGAACATTATGTTGTGTATTTGGTGTAATGCAATGTGTTTATACAGTTTAAGGTTCAAAAAACACATTATTTTCCACATAATGTACATTAACAGCCTTTGTGCACAGACGCATTGTAGTCTAACCAACCAGGATCAGGAAACAGTCCTCCATAAAATGCGCTGCACACATCTGAATATTTGGGTTGAACTGTTCTGGAACAGTGTTTTAAATACAACATAACCACTGATTTCTAGTTGTGTCCTCTTTTGGAAGGCCAAACACACACGCTTTCGCTTTCACAACGAAACATACAGCGTCACACACGGCGGGCTTGAGTGAGGAACGGCCGGGGGCTTGAGAACATTAGTCTTTGCAACTTTAGGGATCTTATCTATGCACGAACAGCTTGTAACACTCCAAGAGAAAGGAAAATTTGAAATTGCATCATATGACCCCCTTTAATCTGTACTGAGATTTAAAGATATTCTATAATTATACACCTTTAATCTTGCCACATGAACACAAAGCAACACAGGACTTGGAAGTCATTATGAATTATGTGGATTCTAGTCCAATGTCCTTTCTCTGCTTTATTATTGAAGTATGACATGAACATGTTTGCTTTTTCCACCTATTACATAAATTGTATGAAGCAAAAGTATATGATTTACTTTGTCAAGGGTTTATGCAAAAAGTTGCCAAATAGACTTAGCACCTGGCATTTTAATTTGAATAAGTATTATAATTGAATATGTATTTTTACAGGGTGTGTCCTGGAACACTGTACGATATATGATCGGCGAGATCCAGTATGGCGGTAGGGTGACTGATGACTATGACAAGCGTCTCTTGAACACGTTTGCAAAGGTGTGGTTCAATGAGAACATGTTCAGCCCTGATTTCAACTTCTACAAAGGCTACAGTATTCCCAGATGCAATAGCGTGGACCAGTATCTCCAATATGTGCAGGTAAGATAAAAGGTTCCAATGAAACTGCACAGTTGGTCCCTTTAGAGTCAGTACTATTTGTTATACAGGTTTTGTCACTAAATGGAGGTGGGAGATTGAGGTGAGACAATGTGTTGGAGGATAGACAATGGTGGTTTATTACAACACTGTGGGCTGTTGGCTGGATGGATTCACAACAGAGTGGCACCAGTAAACATTTACAATAAAATCAGCCAATACTGAGTACCAATGCTTAAAAAAAACAATACTCATAATAAAACAATAAAAAAATAAAAAAATAAAAAATAAACTGCTCCAAGCAAAAACAAATTCCCTGTACATTCTCTAGACATATATTAGGCAAGAGCTTTGCATAATGCAAAGTATCTTGCCATAGAAGTGTATAAGCTGTATTGTATTTACATTTACAATCATAAACTGTAAATCTAAATGTGTTATTTACAAAGGTATTCATTTAAAATTTTGTGCAAGTTCTTTTTTTTTTCCTCACTCAGAAGTCTCTGACAGTCATGTTAGCAATGGGCTTAACAAGTGCAGATGGTAAATGGTAATACCACTGTACAGATATACCAACAGCCCCCTTTTAGCAAATGAGCTGGGGCGAGTATAAAGTAATTAATATTCATGACCCAAGTCGCATCTGGCACAGTTTGTATATGCTAACAGAACGTGAAGACCAAAAGAGAAGTCTGACAAAAATATATATCTTTATACTTCCAGTATAAAAAAGGCCCATCTTTTGTCAACTGTAATGTAATCTGTATGCATAAAGCATAAAGTGTATATATATACACACATACACACACACACACACACTACCTCATAATAGTTATTCAGGTGCCAAGAGGAACATAACCAGACTCAGCCCAGTCAGCCCACTGGCCTCATTCCATTTGTACATTAAAAGCAGTGAGTCATGTAAGGCAGCGGCGTCCTTGTGAGAGAAATAGCACAGCTGCTGGCAGAGTATGCCTATCTTTGTTCTGTCTGAGCTAATTGTGATGGATGTTTTTAGCCCCAACTCACAGCAGGATGACTCTCTCAGACTCAATGACAAACACAGTTCCAGGAGACAGTCTGTGCACTCACGGCATACATGCCACAGCATTGTTCAGTGTGTAACACACAATGCTCTTATCACCATTAGTGAATGAAACCACATACAAAAGATCCTTGAGAAACATGCAAGACATTTTGCTTAAATAAAGAAAAAAAGGAGGAAAAAATCGTTACGCTAGCTTTCATTCAGCTGTGCATCTCTCTAATCACATGTTGTCTACAGGAAGCTTTGTGTTGAATGGAAATTATGATGAATGAATGTATAAAGCGAGATGACTTGTATAGCTGGTACACAACGCTGTATGCATGTATTAATCAACTAATAAACAACTTTAATCATGATTGCTCTTCAAAAAAGATGAGAAATGTGGGAAAACATGCATCCATTTATCAAAACTGATACAAGATGCTTTAGCTTTCATAGCTAATGAGAATAAGCTTTCATAATGGTTGTTGATATCATGTGAAAATTGATTGCAAGACACAGTTTACAACTTTATTATTAGAATATGTAACCCAATCATAGACCTTTATGCACTCAAAAAAAAAAATCATGCAAGCATAGTTTAATTATTTGCATATTTTTTTTATATTATTTAAAATTATGAACATGGTTTAAAAATGGCTAGCTGTGGAAGATTCATTTAGTTAATTTATGTGATTGAAATAAATTGGATCTACTGATGATATATTCACATTCTGGTTATTGTCACATTTGCTTTATTAGTACTATTAAAAAAATTGAATTCAAAATGTGTGAAGGGTTTGCAAAGTGATGACAAAAGATGCATGAATGGGGGAATTTGCTGCAGCAGACAGACAGTAGATTGAATGGGAAATTACAGGGATTAATGTCATTTTTTATTATGTTGATAGATAGATAGATAGATAGATAGATGTTGATAAGTTGATCTGTTTCTCTCTTGCAGGGTCTCCCCACATATGACACCCCTGAGGTGTTCGGCCTCCACCCAAATGCAGACATCACCTACCAAAGCAAACTCGCCAAGGATGTACTAGACAATATCCTGAGCATCCAACCAAAGGACAGCTCTAGTGGAGGCGGAGAGACCAGGGAGGCGATTGTGGGTCGACTAGCAGATGATATGCTGGAGAAACTGCCTCCAGATTTTGTACCATCTGAGGTAAAGCTTCAGACTGGGCAACAATGATGCAGCAAAATGTTGTATGGTTGATGGAGAGCTCAGAGCCCAATGGGAGCAAATGTCCTTTGCGGTCTGGAGCTCGAGTCCTGAGGGGACATTCTCAGGGTTGACAGATGGTGCTGAGGTCACAGACTGCCTGCACTAATGCATTTGTCTTTTTTGAGGCTCACAAATGTTCTCAAACCAAACTGCAGGTACTTATGAAACATATAGGCAGTAATTGGCTGCTACTCCCTTCTGATTATCTGCAAATTAACAAGGCAGCAAGAAAAAACGTGCCTTAGGGTGCACGAGGGCTTTTTGCTTTCATTATCTCTCACAAAAGCGAGAAGCAGATTTGTCTCAATCATGGGCGTTCCTAAAATATTTAAAACTCAGTGATGGAAAAAAAAAATCACCATACCCTGCTTTCTGAAACATTTAAAACTATATTATTACAAACTGAGAATAGAATGAGTTGCTACATGTAAATAAAACATTGTGTCCTCTGCAGTGACCTCTAAATCCTGACAGTAAACTGAATTCGGAAGTGTTTGTTTACATTTTCTATTGATCATGGCAGCAGAACAACATGAAATTTATGGAGATGAGTTTTACAACTTCAGACAGACTGTATAAATAAGCACTTTTTTTATGCACCAAGAGCTTGTAACACTCCAAAGAGAAAGGAAAAATTGAAATCGCATCATATGACCCCTTTAAAAGAGCTTAGATCATGGTGGTGAATCATAAACTATTACAATAATAAAGTATGCCAGATTTTAGTAGTCTGCTGCATCCTCAAAAACCTAGCACTCCGAGGACACAAACTTGGGAACTGCACCCATGCAAATTGCATCAGTACTAATATTTGTTATTGTCTCCACCAGCAGATTAATAATAAATAATACCTTCACTGAGCCAGATGCTAAAATAATGCAGATAGCTTAAACAAAGCTATGCAATGCAATGCCGTCTTAGCAAAAGAGGTGTGCACTTGTACAAAACGGCATCCTTTATTCATTCAGATTGCATCATTTATCCAGGTCAGAGAGAGATTGATGAGCATGGGTCCCCTTCAGCCTATGAACATTTTCCTGCGGCAGGAGATTGATCGCATGCAGAGAGTGATTGTTCTGGTCAGAAACACGCTGAGCGACCTGAAGCTGGCCATTGATGGAACCATCATTATGAGTGAGAACCTGCGGGACGCACTGGACTGCATGTATGATGCCCGAATACCTGCACGCTGGAAAAAGGTTACAGATCGTTTCTTGTCTTTGTGATAATGTGTAATGTGTTGGACACACAATGTACACAACAAAAACATGAGCGCTTCACTTGTTTCTGCTCGCACATTTCATTCAATATTAATATATA